CCTTTGTGTAATAAAAATAGCTGTTGACAATAGTCTTATCTTCCAAAGGGGGGCGCTGCAGAAGAAGCTTGTAAAGCCCTGGTATAATTGGAACATGCCTGTGCATGTTCATCAGATATCAATAGTATGGAGATTGTTATTTAGATCATCAATCAATAATGAAATCAATCATGTTGATGATGGAGACGTTGGGCTTCCTGTAAACACTGGGCTACAAAACAGAGTGAAAACATTCGTATAATGCAGTCAAACCAGCAGCCGCGCTACAGTCAGACATTTGGTCAATTTAGAGTAAATACTTTGTGGGAGGAAATGAGAGTTATTAAAATAGTTGCTGACAATTTAGTTCATGCAGCTCTCTGCGCGCACGCGCACACACACGCACACACACGCACGCACACACACACACACAAACTAATGCACTTGTCTTTCCACTTGATCTCAGCAACGAAATGAATGTTCAGTAAAACAGATGGAGATCCATTATTATTTGTTGTACACATTATCTCCAGTCTACTTCACTGGTGCTGTTCCCGGACTCCGTCAGCTGACTTAGTCCGTGTGTGTGTGTGTGTGTGTCTTTACACCGTAGTCCAAGTTGCACATCCATAAAACGAGAAAGACAGAGCACCAAAGTCTACTCCAGTCTAATGTCTAGGTCTGCATCCTCAGGTCAATACGGTCGTAATACAATCATAAAAATATAATTCTCTTCTAATTTAGAACTGGATAAAACATTTACAGTAAGAAAATTGAGAAACCTAATCAGTTTTTCAGAGAATTAAGAGTCGGGCTTGAATGGATGACGATGATAAGAAAAACATGAAAGAAAACAGAGTGTGTGTCCAATTTAAGAAGAGCTGCGAGTTTGGCCAGTGACACCGTGGACCACGTCTGTGGAATTCTAATGCTCCGCCTCAGCCGAGGGTCTCATTTCGGCCTGGTTGCGTCGTCCCTGAATAATTAATGAGACACCACAAGGGTAGCATAAAGCAGTGGTGTGCAACTGCCCGCAGCCTGGTCCAGGAACACTCCTCACCAGAACCTCATGCATCAAACCTTATCACCAGCTGCTGGGGGACTAACACAGCCGTCCATTTTCCCCCTCTGTCATTTTTCATTTTCACTTTGTAACTGGCAGCGAACAACACTCATGTTTCATACTGTCAGGTCAACGTTGGAATTAAATACAAATGAAAGAAGGCTGTACGGCTGGAAACAAAATACTAAAACAGTTGTTTTTACAGTAATATACACATCTACTGGTCAACATGAGTCTTTAAATTGAACTGTGTAGAAAAACACTTTATGATTTACTGAAACAAGACTATTTTAAACCATTTATTAGCATATATTCACATATAAAAATACACGGTGACTCAGTATTTTACTTTTACTTATTTCTACTCTCACTGGCTGCTCTCTAGCTATAAATGTCTTAACATCTGTGTAGAAAAGTACAGAGTCCAACAGGACCCCAGAGTGAAGTCCCCAGTTCCTACTGACACGTCTGGAACAGTAAAACGTCAGGCCAAATAACCAACAGCTGTTTCTCTCAGAATATGTCACAGATTCTCAGGCATCTGGTTTCACGTCTCCATGGACATTGGTTTGTTTGAGGACATTTTATGAATGAATTCAAGAGTCGATGGAAGGTGTCCCTGAGAGGGCTGTCTCCACCAGGACACAAGTCCTCCGCAGAATTGAGTGCGTAAAAATAAATATATAAACATACATAGAAATATATGAATACTTTCCCATATATTTTGGGGGTTTTCTGTGTCTTGGACTTGACAGTTGTCAACACATACATCTACCTGCTGTTATTGGTCTGTCAGTACGAACAATATATGGAAAAAAATGTTTTTGTAGTACTGTATATAACTAAATATTGTGGTTCCATAGTGTAGCGGTTATCACACCTGCCTTACATGCAGAAGGTCCTGGGTTCGAGCCACAGAGGAAAAACATATTTCGTGGTGCTTCCTGTGTTGCAGGAAGACTTCAATATATTGACTTCAATATAAGTCCAACTTCGTAGTCCAACTATAAGTTGATTGCAGCAACTTTACAGCGAATGGTAAAGACAGTGATCTCTATCAACAGGATAACTCACTTGAAACACCATCTTCTGACTGTGGGTGTGAATGGGAGCAGAATAAAACAGCAGTGGACAGAGACAGGATTGGACAGAGACAGTGTCCTTACAGCAGCACGAGATCTCTTTATTTTTTGATTATTTGTTTGAGAACCTTATTTGTGGTTTGTACAAAACCACTGCCCTCATATTTATTAAGGTGTTCTGCACTAAAACAACACAGTCCACTTCCATATGAAACACCATCTGCCCTGCAGGACAACGCTGACCCACTGCCGTTCTCAAATGACCTCATGTTCAGGTCCAGTGTGACGCCTTAACCTCCTCAAACCATGACCTATAAACCTGACCTCCTGACTCTAGTCATAACCACATGACCCATATTATCCAATCATTGAAAACCTACACTTTCTTACCTCTGTGTATTCCACTGACCGACTCTCTGTTGCTGAAGTTGAAACTTTGGTTTGAAGGTAGACCGTGATGAGGAAGCTGCTCTTACCTGGATCATGTAGAGCTGAGCGATGCGGTACTCCTCCACACTCATCGGCATGGGTATGTGATACTCCTTGATCAGCATGGTTGTCCTTGTTAGTGTTTGTTTTCAGACTGCTACTGTGGAGAGATGCTCCTCTCCCTCAGCTCCTCTACCCAGGCAGAATGTCTAAACAGAGAGGATGAAGAAAAAAGAATTTTAGCGTTTCAGGGTGCATGGATAAACAGGTTTGAGTTTTCCATGTTTGAACCAAGGATTAAACCTCCGTATACAAACATCCATCCCACCTCTAGGCTGAGACAACACATCGTGCATGTTTCCTCCCGGCCAGCCTTCCTACAGATCTGTTACAAGGTAATCCTCTGACCTCCCTTCATCGCTGAAATCCCGTCACAACCTAAATCCAACCCCGGCCTCCTCGCTGAAGATAAATCCAACAAAGCCATAAGCGGCCATAAGCCCATGTATTGAAGTGCACTCCTTATGTAGAGTAACAGTTGCCTTCATTTACCCCCAGGAAGTTTTAGACAATTTTAAAACACCAGCCTTGTCAGTCCTAGGTGAGGATGGATGTCATCCTTGAACAAAAAAAATTTGGGGAATTCACCACCGGAAGTCTTTTTGGCACTGCAGAACAAAAGCTAGTGAAAAACTGGCTCTAATAATTGAAGGAACTCAATAGAAATAACCCTATAAAACCATTATTTTGAGTTTTGATTTCTATAATGTTTCATAAACATCTCAGTTCCAAAAAAAGGGAAATTTAAAATATCAACTGCAAATATAGTTTTTGGTTTTTACAGAGAAAATTTCCTTGAAGCTGTGGACTACCCACCTTTTCAGTGTGTATATAAGCACTCAGCAGGTGTAACGTTATCAATGACTGACCACTGCCTCTTGTTTTTGCTGTTTGTTTGTTTACATTTGTTTACAAGTTAGCCTCTGGTCAGATGTCAAAGCAAGTCAGTGTCGGATAATGAAATATGTGTAATAAAAAATGTAAATCAATTTATCATTAAATCAAAATTTAAACACCACCATCATCATCATCATCATCATCATCATCATCATCATCATCCAGGTCCAGTGAACACACCTCCATTGTATCGTCAACATCCAGTTCACTGTGGCTCCTGTCATCAACTGAGGGCAGACAAATGCAATAGTCTCATGACTCAATCAAATTACAGGTCACATTTAACCTGTTCTTGCCTCCGCAGCCTTCCCATGTTTCCAGCAGTGACTTCAGTTTCATCTGCTCTGAGAAAACGCTGTGTTTTTTAAATAAAGCTGCAGCTCAAACTCTGATTTTAGAAACTTCTCTCGACGGCGGTTTCCCTCCTCTGAGGCTTGTACTGATTGTTGCAGAGATCAGTCAAGCCCTATACATCCTAATAAAGGAGCACTTGCATTTTGTTTATTTTCTCCCACTCTGCTTCTCACTACAATAGAGGAAGAAATGGATGTTATTTTTATATCCTCTCACTGATATTTTACATTAAAGCTTTTGGCAATGCTCCGGGAATCAAACTACCAGACATGACGAGTCAACATAAATAGACACATCTCACTTCAAGCATTTGTCATTTCTCATCATTCTTATTTCTTTGTAAACCAAAACAAGCAGGGTTGACGGAGGAAAATAATCCAACACTGTACGACATCAAGTCATCTCTTCAAACAGCAGTGATGCAGCAGGACGTCGGTGCGGCCGCCGTGCTGTTAACTCACCTGCTGCTGCTGAAACAGGAGTCACAAACCAATCAGACGGACAGACACGGACGAGCACGGGGTCACATGACAATGGCTTCTTAATCTTACACAGATTACAGTAGGACGGGCTGTAAGTCTGCTGCTGTTTTAACATGGCAGCGGGAGGTGTGGGTGTTTGTGTTAGGTGTGTGTGTGTGTGTCACAGTCGGTCCATCTGTGAATGATTATCTTATGCATGTTCGGTCAAGCTGCTGCTGCTGCAGCTGAAGCACAGAGGTCACGATGTTCATCGATGGAAAGCTTGGACGAAACAACACGAAGCTGCGTCGGCTTCAGCCTCACGGCTAAAATACAACGTGAATTTATCACAAAACGCCACGGTCAAAGTATTTTATGATGTTTGTTTAGGGCCTGAAGAGGAACATCTTTTTATCGTGCACATTTCTAACCCTGTGAACTTTCCTTTCCGTCTCTTCCCTGTGCTGTCATACAGACCGTGGGTGCTACACTCTGACCACCTCACTGTCAGTTGATCTGGCCGTTCGGTCTGTGACGACAAAAGCAGGGCCAAAACTAATTAAAAGCTAAATGTCAAGAACAACATGCCACGATATGTAACCACGGATTAGCTTCATTATGAAGCCAGTCTTATTTAAACACATCATTCTAAAGTAAACTCATTAACGTCACGGCTCTGGACTTCATAAATAATTCCACAATTATCCAGAGAATGACTACGGAAAGAGAAGCAGGATATAATCTAAGAAGATAATTAATAACAACCTAAGGTTCCAACTGGGGTGTAAGAAAATACCACTACACTGGAATATTGAGATATTACATTGAACAATACAATATATATATTCTACAGTACTGTATTGATTTTTTATTAACAATTAACATGCATTGTTCTTTTTCTTTTTTTTTTCTAATCTAACGATTACAAATGTAGATCCCTCTGCTCCAGTTTGAGTCACCTGATGTTAAGAATGGAACAACATTGAATGTGTTCACAGTTTTCCTACCATGAAATTGTTAGAAAAAACTCAATATATCGTCATGCCTATAGTATCGCAGTATACTGCAATATATCGTATCGTTGCATCTGTGTCATGATACGTGTCACATCGCAAGATTATGGCCAATACACACCCCTAGGAGGATATTTTAATTTCAGTTCTTATTTTAAAACTATAAAGATACAGTTTTATAAAGGTACGTACTGAAGAATAATTAAAGAAAAAAAAGCTGTTTGTCCCAGCATATGACTCATATACTTCTAAATGTATATGATGTATGTATGCTGAGGTTTTGGGGATAGAATAATACACTGATGTTATACCGGGTTTACATGAATAACACAAAGTAAAGCAGAATACGTTTAACAAAAATTAATGAAAACCAAATGAAATCAGACTGAGCAGCATTTTGCCAAAGTGGTGGAGAAAAAAAACTCTCAACAGGAAGATCAGCCCAGAATAATAATCCAGGGTGAAGGTGTTTGATGGTTCCAATGAGGTTCCAAAGGGTGGAGGTGCTGACAGGCTGCTCTGATGAGTTCTGTCTCTGATTCTTATACAATCTCATCACAATGAGGGCAGGTTTAAAACACACCTCATCATTTACGTCATGACAGACGGGACAGATCACTAGACCGTACTGTCGTGAATGAACACGGTTCGTCCAGATTTGAGTCTGAACAACAGAGTGGTTCGACCCTAGACATGTTACAACAACGTAACACAACAAAGCACTTTCTTCTTTCCTCTTCTGTTCACACATGCACCACATCATAAATGTTCAACATACAGGTTTGTTGAACACGAGTTGGAGCTTCTCTGCAGTGACATCACGTTAGGAAAACATCCACACAGTGCTGCACAAACCTCTGCTCATTCATAGGGTTAGGTTTATTCTAACATATGTGACGACAAAGTAACAACACAAAAGACGTCTGGATGTTTTACTTGCAAGGGGAGAGTGGAGCTTGCTCTGCTGGCAGCTTCCTCATCAACTCCCAGTTCCTGCACCCTTCCTCTGCTCTTTTGTTTACATATCATGTGATCTTGTGTGAGTATATGAATGGGTATGGAGTAAGAAGGTGGGTGTGAATGTGGGTGTGGCTGTGTCTGGTCATTTCTCCATCAGTCTTGAGCACACTAGATTATAATATGAGAAGCAAACAGTTCCTTAAAACGACAGTACAGCATGAAGCAATGATAATAAATTAAATTCTTCCAACACATAGGAAGACGAAAATGACGAGAGAGCACAAACAGAGAGTCCATCTAAGAATCCCCCCCCCCACCCGCTCCCCATCACTTCCCTCCTACAGCCTGGTCCAGGAGGTGTGAGTGTGTTACTGACCACCACTCAGTCATCCATCCACCTGTGTTTGCTGAGAGGGCAGACACAGGAGGAGGAAGCACATGGACTGTAACTGTTAACCCAGCAGCAGCAGCAGCAGCAGCAGCAGCAGCAGCAGCAGCAGCAGCAGTGTTTACCTACAGTCAGAGGAAGGAACAGCAGGAAGGCAGCCACCCTGACGTCCACACAGCAGAGGCTTTGAGGGGGGGCTGAAGCAGGTCCTGGTTCCACACAGTCATCCAGCCAGGGCATCCTTCTACTGCCCCATTTCTGCTCTCCTCTCTTTCCTCTGCCATCTGCGGTCAGCCCATCCACACAGCTTTGACCCCCCCCCCCCAAACCACAGATTGGAAACCAGCCTCTCTGTGTGAAATTGGAGAGGGTATCGATTCTCCCCCTCTCTTCCTGCCTCCTCCTCTCCTCCCCCCATCTACCTCTGATCTGCTCCCGTCCAACCCTCCCCACTCACAATGTCTCCACCTAACCGGGAGAGGAAGCTCTGTTACCATGGAGATCCATGAGGCCTAATCCTGATTGGTGGAATTTTTTGTGACATGGAGAGCTAGAGGGTACAGCCCACCAGACCGACAGTCTTTACATTTACATTAGAACATTAGTCTGTCCACACCGGTCATCTCATTGGCTTTGAATACAACATTTTTTATTTATTTATTTTTACTTTGACCATGAAACTGCCATACTGACAGTTTTAATTATTATGAATGTATTATTGAGTGTATAGACATAGCAGTTTATTTGAAAATATCTTTAAGAAGGTTAATTCAAATCCAACTTCACAAAGTATTTTTGCTGTTAATGTGACAAATCAAAACTAGTGACATCATAAGACATCATAAGTGCAGCAGTTGGTCCTGCAGGTCGTACGTTTGTTCTCCTGTGTTTTACTACTTTTCCCTCAATTACTACATACACACAACACCTTATAAGGTTACACAACATAACACACACACAGTGAGTGATTCTGACAAATTCTGATGTTTATCTCCGGGTCTCACACCTGCTGTTCATTCATTCATTCACCAGTCACTGTGAATTCATGGATAAAAATCTTTCTCTCTTTTTAACAGCACATGGGTTTTTCAGGATGACATTCACCACACACCTGCACTGTACCTCGGTGCTTCACCAGCTAACACCGGGAGGATGAGGGTCGGCATGAGAATGAGCTTCTACATCTGTTCACACGGCTCGGCTCTCTCCTCCCACTCAGTCTCTGCCTTTATCTCCCAGTCGCAGACATGTAACAATGAGATAACTGGATGACAGGAACTCCACCGGCATGAACAAACACACACACATACACACACACTTTATCTGAGCATCAGCAGAGCACACGCTAACAGAATCAACCCCTGCTCTCTTAACACCACAGTCCCGCCCCTCCTGAACATCTGCTACGATTACGGCTGTTAATTTGTGATGGTATCAAACACCTCTTTCCTCACCAGACCCTCCTGCTCTTCCTCATCCTGTACATATCAGTGATGGGGCCGGGGCCAACAGCTCGTGAACTTCAGTAGTGTAGTGGACGCAAATACAACAGGATGTAATTGCTTCGATGTGTTTTCCTGTTTATTTCCTAGGTACTTTTCAAAGTACTTTTTTTCTCAACCACAGCAGACCTGGCCAAACTACAGCCCGTGGGCCAGAAACAGCCCGCTAGGCTTTGTAATCCGGCCCACCAAACACCAGTACAAGACTGATGTCAATCCTTCTGTTTCACGCATTACAACAAATTGAGTGTCATTTCTGTTGATGCCACTAAGTGGCGGCAGACATCAAATGTGCCAAATTATCTTTGAAAGTGTAGGTTTATTCTTGTGCACTTAAATGACTTTTTCCAACATCTAACATCTAACCAATACTGAACCGGCCCGCCAGTCAAATTTTGAACCATTGATACAGAAAGACCAGGACCGAGCCGTTGAACTGGGGATCTCCCTTCTGTAGTGGTGTTTCTCAAAGTGGGGGACTGGCCCCCTCCTAGGATGCACAGAGCTATTGCAAACGGGCGCAAACTTGTTAGCATATTCACAAGATGAGAAGAGAACATGTTTTCTCTGAAGAAGTAGCTGTTTTTGTGTTGACATGGATAGGCAATTGTTCCATCTACAATAGGGGGCGCTGCAGGAAAAGGGAGCAAGAGCTCTACCCATTCTACCACCACGTGGCCTACAGTCAGTGACATCAAGACAGAAAAAAATAGTATGCTCTTTTCCTCAGAAAAAATGTGTACACCTTTGATCATGACTTTACTTTTAAAGTATTTTTGATATGTGTTATTTATTTCTTAATGCCTCTACATACGTTTCACTATGCAGTTGCGATAAAGTATTTCTGTAGTACTGTGTCTGTTTTTCACTTACATGAGATCTGAGCACTTCTCCCCGCGCCGTTCAGCTGACAGCGGACGTTTTTAAGGTGATTTCAGAACCACAGACACATGATGTTGTCAGTGCCCTGCAGTCCATCTCCAGTGACCGTTTCCTCCCTGTAAATGAGAAAGGCCTTTTATGAGGTTCACTGAGCAGCTGACGCCGTGCTGATGTTTGTCTTTATGAAGCATGTGCACAGACACGTATGCACAGCACAAAGCCTGTCACCCACAATGTCACAGTCATAAATATCACATAGTCCTGGGCTAAAGTGGAAGTCAATCCCCCATCCACGAATGCCATTTACATTCATGCACTGCTCATATGATGTTGTCAAAACATAAATAAACATAAGAAGGTGCATGAGCAGTGGATAAGAGGAAACACACACCCTGATGTGGTGGAAGGGTGAGGAGCTATTATTAGCTCATGTGGGTGGAGGGGGGTCTGCCTGGGTGAGGGGTGGGTGCAGCACGAGGCAAGACATCTGTGACGTAGGATGTGAGCAGGGGTTGGTTGTGATGCTTCTCAAATTGCTCTGCTTCACTGCACTGTGGCAAATAATGGCTGTCTAAGAAGGGAGGGCTGATCAGCTAATGACTGCTCATGGATTTCATTAATGTCTGTGCTAACATCAGCCAGGCTTCAGTGCACTATGTACACAGAGTTAACTCTTCGTCCTCAAATGCAGTCAGGTCAGGCTGTTAGGTTTGGCCAAATTCACATTTGAAGTTTATGAAGACATTGGAACAAAGAAAAAGAAAAGGACTTTTGTTTGTCCTAAAACATTAAGGTTGTGGTTTCTTCTGGGACTTGAACTCACAACCTTTGTGTGTTAGGCAGACATGATAACCTCTACACTAAACTAAATACGGCCATATTGATATAGTCTATCTAGAAATTGGGTTTGGAAAGTCTTACATTGTCAGCTGAATTCCAAGGAGCAAAAAAAAATACTTTTCCACAAAACCTATACACCCCAGACTGAAATGTACACACATGAGAGGGATCAACAAAAAAAAGATGCAAACGTCCATTAGTATGCAGTAATATTAATAGTTTCTAAAATAACATAGATTACTGCTTCGTTTGTTCATTCCATGAAAACTTATTTTCCGGCTTGACCCTGGGTTTACAAACCCAGAACATTCAGGTGGAAGATATGAGTCCAAGCAAATCAACACTAGAATCCTACTACATCTAGAAAAACTACTTTGTTCATCACCTGATAAAATCTAAATAATCAGTCACTTCCTCTGTTTTCTCACAGTAGTGGAGTCGTTCAACTGTATGTTAACAAATCCATCCATTCATTTTAATGTATGTCACCTAGTGTTGATATTGTCCATTTTCCATTTTATGCCTCTAAGTGCTCTGATGCCTAAAAGCCTTCTAACTTATGTGCAATCCAGCAGGGGGCACTCAAAAGCAATTGTAGGAAAAAGAAAAAAAAATCAACCCAAACATGTGGTCCCAGAGAAATTTAAAGAAAAGTTTCTGTAATGAGAAAAGCAGCAGAGGAAATGACTGCTGTTGATTGAGCTGAGAGATTGGAGGACGAAGAGACAAAGTTTCACTATTCAACCTAATACCATTACTGTTTGGCCCAACTCCAGATCAGAGTACTTCGTGGCCAATGTGGGCCAGAGGGTGTTGTGAGTGACGCTGTTTGGAGTCTGGCCTTTCCTCCACTATGTATACACACTAAATATACATATATATATACATATATATATATATATACATATATATATATATGTATATATATATGTATATATATATATATATGTATATATATATGTATATTTAGTGTGTATAATCTTATAATTATCAACTTATTGCTTATTCTCTGAAAGAAAAAGTGTCTAAAACTGTGTACCAGTTGGATTCCCAGGTGAAAGAGATCCAGAATATAGTGAAATACCATAATTAAAAACTAAAGTTTATGTTTTGTAAAACTATAGAGAAAAGAAAAGTCAGTTGTTTGGTAGTTGCCAATAAAAACCACAGTAAAATGCAAATTGATAGCATTACATTAGCGTCAATTGTCTGAAAGACTGTGTATTTCAGTGGGTGTAAAACATCATACATTAGCACCTTTGCTTCTCCATTAACAACGGTTGAATAAAATGTGAGTCTGTCTGTTTTCCTAACCAAAAGCAGAGACTGTACTTTTAATTAACTGTGATGTTCTAAGTATCAAGTGAGCGGCTGCTCTGCTTCATCCCTGCTTCTGAACACACTGTATATGTGTGTGTGTTAATATTTAATAAAGGGCTCGCTGCAGTCGAGCAAAGCTATCAGTCTGTTAATTAGAGCAAGTGCACAAACAAGGCATAACAGACATGAGTAAAACTAACTGGTGGGGTTTTTTACAACTGACCTCACATCCACTATAACACAACCTTGGTCTCACATGACCCAGCTCTCATACCTACAGTACTGCATGTACTGCATGTACTGCATGTATGGCTCATATTTCACAGATATAACTCTGCGTTGACTGAGCTGTGTCTTCAAATGTGTTTGATTTCTATGAAGTGAACTAATTAGCTGCACCAGTAACTGATAGAAAAAATGAAAAAAAAAACAACACAAATAGAAGTACCGTAAATATTTAACCTATGATATATGGACAGATTTGATATATTTCTCAACATATCTCAATGACAAATATGCTTAGACACAACACTTCAAATAGATGATGATTAATCGTGATTAATCCACAAATATCTTGGGATTTATCAGATTACAAATTGTACATTCATTTGACAGCTAATATACACATATATAAATATATGTGTATAAATATGTATATATTTTATACTACTGTACTGTATGTAGGAAACCATACAGTAGGCTAAACATAGGAGAAAAGCTTGCTTCATTCAGACCTAGACTCCTCTCTCCTCTCCTCTCCTCTCCCCCCCTCTCTTCCATAAACTCAGCCCCACTCCGACTCCATGATCAGTGGGCTGGAATTCCTCTGTTTACGGTGCTAAAAATAGCTTTCACACGGCAATGACGTGGCATCTCGTGACAAGACCCCCACTACCACCATTATCACCACCGCCACTGCAACCCTGCCCTCTACTCCTCCTCCTCCTCCGCCTCCTCCTCCTCCTCCCTCTCTCTAGCAGACAGTAGGGCAGAACAAGTCACGTTGCCGTCGGTATGTAAGCCCTCAGCCGGCCTGCATGCAAATTCTCTTTAAATCGTGCCAGTCGTTCTCTCTGGAGAAGAGGTGAGGCCGGTCTGGCATGGGCACAAAATGTGAATTTTAAGGGCTGAGACGCAGGCAGGGAAAGCAAATAATGGATGGATGGAGGGAGAGAGGGGAAACAAGCAGAGGAGGGGCAGGCAATCAATACTATGACTCATTCTTTCTGCAGTGGCTACTTCCTAACAGCATTCATTAAAGCAAACATAATCATTTTGGCCCGATAATCAGATCCTGTCAGGCTCTGTCTTTTTTCTCTCCACAACAAACAAACATTAAAATCACAAATGATGCTGCAGGAGGAGGACATAGGAGCAGTTCCACGATGGAGATGCTGCGGTGATGGGGAGGTTTCCTGATGCACCTGCTGTAGGAACAGCTGACATCTCCTGATAACAAATCAGAGAGTCCAAGATATCTCATGAACTATTTCAGACGGCATAATATATTCTGACAGAAGTTTCCCAGAGAAATCCTAACAGGTTTGGACGTTTCCCGACTCATCAGACCAACAGTGGGTTTCCTATAAGTTACACAGCTGGTATGATTACAACAGGATTATTATGATCCTGGTTAAACTAAGAAGCAATAAACTGAAAACCACTGCAAACAACTATATTAAAACAATATAATACAATTTGTGTAGAGAGATAGAGACGGCTGGATGGATGGATGGATGGATGGATGGATGGACGGATGGATGGATGGATGGATTTATGGACGGAGGGCCGGATGGATGGATGGATGGACAGATGGATCTTTATTAACACTTGGGGAGTCTCTCTGGGAAATTTAGAGTATATAATATTGTATTATATTAATATAAGTTTATGAATCATCATAAATCATAAACATTTGAAAATACATAAATACAAAGACAAATATAAAATTATAAGATCCCCATTACTACCAACCAAACACACGATCACGAGCTAAATGTGTTTGTGTGCGACGTGGTGATGAACCACTGCAGCACCGCTCCACACAGCTGTTAAAGTCTGGTGACAACGCACATTAGTCTTTTAAAAGCTGCAGTTCTTTTCTACAGTTCTGGAGGATTAATTTCTCGCCTCACCCTCATCCCTGAACACTTAGAAAATCTACAGGCGCTAAAATCAACACTTCTTACAGCCGACTGCACAGAGACCTTTGGAGGATTATTTAAAGCGCCCTGGTGACAGTCCCACAGATAAATGCTTTCCAGGTTTCAAGGGTGCTTCCTAGAAAGTTTCACTGCTAGAACATCCTCCTAAATAAATCAGATTGGTGGTGAGGATCAAAAGACACGGAGACTCCTGCCTTGTTTACGCCGTCTCCAAATAGAATAGGAATATCATGTGAATGTGTGGTACAGTTTGGACAGCTGCTTTGGGAGAAGAACTAAAGGAAACACTACAACCAATACAGGTGATCAAGTTTGTAGGGCAAATAGTCAGTCACCTAGAGCACCACCTGCTGGAGAAAGGGCAGTTACAACCCTTAAAAATAGAATAAAATAAAATAAAATGGTAGTAAAAACCAAAACGTCTTATTTTGTATTGTTTTTATATATTATATTATATTATATTATATTATATTATATTATATTATATTATATTATATTATATTATATTATATTATATTATATTATATTATATTATATTATATTATATTATATTATATTATATTATATTATATTATATTATATTATATTATATTATATTATATAACACTTGTTTAGTTTAAGAACAGCATTTCTTTAAATAGACATAAATAGTCCTATGATTGATGTATATTGAAAGAGGTTTGGTCAAACTGGCCAATCAGAGGTTGCTGGTATTTACTCACTAGTGAAAAGGTTGAAGTCACCTGCTACAGTAAACACATTCATTTATGTTTCTTTAGCTGCTTCCACCCTGACAGTCAGGTCTGTTTCATCTGACGACATGTAGAGTTTACTGTTGTCTAACAGTAAGTCAAATTGTTCACACCTGAAAATGAAATGGTTCTGGATGTGTTTCTGTGTGACATTAAGTCTGGCTTCACTTTTATTTTTATTAGATTGTCTAAATGTAAAAGTGTGTTTAATGACAATGTGGCTCTGGGTTTGTGGCAGTTTTATTTTATTTTTTTTATTTTTTTGTTGGAACAAATGAATTATTCTACTAATTAAATTTCTTGTGTAATATTTGGATTTTTATTTTAATATTAAAATATATATTACAATATTAAATTTTTGTCATGCACAATGTTCACCTTTTCTTAAATATTTTTCTCATGTGCAAACCACATTTTCTTTACATGTAGCGAGCCAAATTTCTCACATGAGAAACATTAAACAGTTCCCTAAAACTGTAAATTAAATGACAGATATGTAATTTCAAAACGCCTGGATACTTTTACCACATGGTGTTTGAACATTTACCCCACTGATTAGCAAACACTTTTTTGGTCTATTATCCTACATTGACAGTTTTAATGATTCTTTTGTTCGTCAATATGCTGCTCTTCTCTCTCTCCAAATGATGTGTTCTGATGTGACAACCGAAAAGGTTTGTGGACGTGTGTATTGAGAATGAGAATCGCACTTAGAAAGGGATAGAATTTAGTGTCATCAGTTACTGAACAGCTATTGCATGTAGCTGAAAGGAAAGGTGATGCAACACAAGGTTAAGTGTTCAGCTGTGATGGCGTTTGTGTAGGAGATTGAAATCTCAAACTCAAATTGAGCAATAAAAAAGAATAAATAATAAAAAAGATCAAGTTTACCAGCTCCAAAGATAAATATCTTGTCAATTATCATCAAATGATAGCATTCTATTAATATACAGATGTTTATGGCAACGTCCCATCCTTTGGGATTCACACTTATTTGTACTGAACGTACAGTTGTTAGACCCAGCACCATATATTGACTGCTGTTCTTGTCTGATGCTGTGGTGAAGATTACAGACAAAGGAACGTGAAAATGTGGATACTGGCTTGTTGGACTGCCACTAATACTATTCTGAAGACTGTGATCTGGCCTAAACCCCCACCTACTGTGGCATCACAGCGATCTGCACATGAATAGATCAGATAAACAAAAAAATATAGAAGCCTGATAATCCTCTGTGTCTTTACCTTCACGCAGCAGCTAATAGACAACTAGAATTCAAACATTATAATCAGTCTCAGAGCAACCAACTTTATATAGAGAAAAGAGCCATCTCAGTGCTGATGCAGTTAGGACCCCCACCCTCGGACAGACGGAGCATTACTGCTGTGGACACTGTGGCTGACCAACACCACCAACATCCCAGAGCAACAGCAACTAACAGCTCTCCAACAATTCCAGTCACAAACACGGGTTTAAAGATTATTTCCATAATTAACCAATCAATCAGGTACCTACACCGTCTCTAATGAAGACAAAAGGCTGTGCCAACATCTGATTGGATTCAAATCGATGAATATAAACAACATAAATATCTGTTAAATCGTCCTAATTTTGAAGTATTTAAAGATTAGCAGTATTATTGTACACATGTATGTGTGCACATGTGTATTCAGTTGCATGTGTATACGCACAGGTTCAGGTTGCTTCTTCTGTATATAAAATACACACGTCTACCGTTTCTGTGTATGTAGACGAATGTACGCATGTTCCCATGTGTGCTGTATATTTTAACTTGCACATGTATTTTTGTATGTATGTATGTATCTCTGGGTGGTTTTAGGTCTGCACACGCCGCATACATTCTCTTATGTGTTGTCTTATATGTTTACATATATGTGTTACCCATATGTTTACATATATATTCTGTAGAGCTATATGATATATACACACAACCATATATATTGATACATTGCAAATGCATTTCTACTGCAAAACTATTTCCACAAACAACATTGATAATCGATCATCGATAACCGATATATACATGGCGTTAATCTGTCACATCGTGGTGCGAGAGAGAGAGAGAGAGAGAGACCCACCTGCGGCTCAGAGCGGAGTGTTTGTCAGCGATGACAGTGGAAGAAGGTGAGGTTACAACACCACTACTGCTGTACTGCTGCTGCTGGTGTTGATGTTTTCATTCAGCGGTGCTCTGTGTTATCTTCTCCCTACATACGCCGTGCATCTCTCGGCTGCATTTCCGCCTTCCGTCCCGCTGAAACTGCGAAGTGAACCAAAACACGGATGTCCTGAGCGAGCTGTGAACCCGAGGGTGGACTGTGACTGATGAAGACGAATCCAGGTTGTCTGTTACAACAGTAGACAGGACGCCCCCTTCACAGGACAACCCACAGAGAACACTGCCTCCTAGCGGTGAACAGGCAACTGCAGGTCTGTATACGAACTGATGATGTTCCAAGGTATGAAGAAAGATCTTCGACGTCAGTGCAGCCCACATCCCAGCGCCTAAAACTATCACCGTACTGGGGTACAAAAGCAGTAACAAACGTTACAACCGAACAATAACTACAGTTTAAAGAAACAAGGAACATGTGAAATGACTAAAAAAACATAAAATAATTTTGCTAGAGAAAAAAGAGAATATAAATACTAACATGCAATCAGTCAACCAGTGTGGCATGACGGTATTATTCACGTTATCATCTCAACTATAATCCCCATTTCCATTATGATGGTGGGTCAAAATCCAATAAAAACCTATCCTGTATTTTGGTAACTGACTAAACTTTTATTTATCCAGCAAAGAAACTACTTTGTTTTTTTTATATGTGAAATTCAGTAGAATTATGAATGTGTATAAAGAAACAGTAGGCTCTGAGCACAAAGTTGACACAAAGGCAGAATCAATACTCACCCATAAACCCATTCCAACATTCTTCTGAGTGTTCAGCATTGCTGTTGATGATTTTCAATATGATTGGACAGACATTTTCAATAGGAGACAGATCCCAGGTCCAAACAAAGGCAGTCTGGGAGATGATTGGTTGTTAGTGCAACCAATCATCACAAGACAATGACAATGAGAATACTTCTCTCTGGCTCCACCATTATTGCTGTTGTGTCTTCTTCTTGCTGTTCCATTCATGGGCCCATGTGACCTTTAACAGACAGGAGAGCTCCTACAATTCACGGGGATTCTGCTTTCTTTTCCAGTATGGGGTTTTCTGAAAACATATTAAAGTACACATGTTAGAGAACAAACGCAGCACTTGATGTTGACATAAACTAGGCCTCACGTACTAAAAACAAACCTGATCAATGCCAAGCCCATGTGTCTCTCCATCATGTCAGTGTGGACTCACGAAACTCTCAGGTGATAAGAACAATATTCAAGTTGACAAAATAGAAAAAAGCAACATATATAAACATACAACAATAGACAGAAAATTAGAACACAACAAAGATAAACAAAGGAAGCCACAAAACATTATGTAGTACAACTATAACATATGAAAACAGAAAAAGAAAATATAATTTGAAAAAGAAAGACTCTGCCACTACACAGAATATTGTAGACAAGCAGAAACAACAGAAAAATAGCAAAGCTTATTTAAAACTTCATTTATTGTGCAACAACATTACAATTCCAGTAAACTTCATGCACAATAGTATGTGTGTGCACGTGTTTGCTATGAATTTCGCATTTGATCAGGCAGGTTAAAAAATAAAAAAAAATATGGAGCAACGCAGTAAAATACAGAGGTGAAATGTAAAAAAAGGCAACTTGCTTCAAGTAAACAAATATTTCCTTCACATAATGGTTTTGGTCCAAAGGAAATTAAAAAAACTGTAACGCACCAAAATAAGCTTGAAAGTATAAAAACATAACAGACACATTAGAGGAAAAGTCAGACAGAAACAGCAGTGTTTCTGTTCTGGAGAGTCTTTACACCACAGACAGGTTGAAAACCAGCTCAGTTAAAAACCTACACCAAAATGTGGCGAAGGTAACTTTTCATAATGATATTTCTGTGGAACTAAAAAAGTAATCCGCCTTAAAAAGTTCTGCATTGTTAAAATATAATTTGTAATACTTTTTTTAACATATAAAAATATCCCAGAGTTTTCTATATTTCAAAGGTATAAAACTGATGGCGTGGAGTTACTGTACAGCCCTCAGGATATGGCACGAAAAATAAATGTGCGTACAATCAGTGGTGCGTGTACTAAACACAGACACTCAGTCGGAGCGTCTTTAATGTCACGTTAAAAAGACGAGTTGCTAGATGTTGGCAGAGGAAGGGAGGACGTGGAACCGCTTCAGAATCATGCGGATGGATCCGAGCTGACGATTGAGTCGTTCCAGATTATTCTCCAAGGCCACCTGAGGACGGGAGCACAGTAGGAAATACGGTTATTACTTCTAAAATCTTAAACACATTCAGTGGCTCTGCAGAACATCCAACAATTTCTGTAAAGTTTAATCAGCCTTTGGAAGTATTTATTAGAGATAATTACTTTTTCTGGCTTTAACAAAGTTTTTTATTTGAAGAATCAGATCCATTCTTTAGCTCAGACATTTCAAATGCACGCTTCCTGCTGCTTCATCTGTCTAATTGCTGCACTACTTTGTCTTCATGGGATGTGTCAAATAATTTCAGGCACAGCAGCAATGCTGCAAAGTGATACTAGATTGAAATGGTGCTAAACTAAAGACACAGAGAGAGTATAATTTATGAGGTGGATAGTTGTAAAAACTTAATAAATGATGGTCTAACCTGATTTGACCTGGTCTGTAGACTGGATCTGCCTCCAGTCAGAGGTATCCTGCTCAAGGCTGCCTCAGTCTGTGTAGCACACAAACACAGGCGGAGAGAAACACAGACAAACACACTCATTTATTACCAAAGTCATCACATGATGACTCAAAGTGAACATGCCTGCCAGAGCCTGTTCCATCAGATTCATTGCATTATCTAACAACCTAATGCTGTGTGTGCATGTGTGAAGGGCAGAGGACGCCTTCGGGTCATTTATGGATGTAAACGGTCTAAAAATAGAACACATTGAAGTTCGTGTTATGTAAGAGTTTAGGAGGTGGTCAGTGTGGTTCCAAACAGACATGTGAGGTGTAAACCTCTCTGACCCTAACATGTGTGCCACTGCAGACACCCTTTTATGAAATTATTTCTGTCAGCTAAATTAATAAACATCCCGATTGACAAGTGATGACCTGCTCACCTGCAGTTTCTCCTGCGTCAGCTCGTCAAATAGTTTCTCCGCCTCAGCCAGCGAGTTGAGATTGTTCAGTGAAAGTGGGGCTAAGTCATCGTGGGAGTCCTGAAGGCTGCCACCGTAGGATCTCTTCTCCTCCCAGCCCTGCTGGGAGTTTCCTTCGGGAGGATTCACAAAGACGTGGGGGCGCGGCTGGCGAATATCTGGTGAAGAGAAAGATGTTGGATAAAAACCTGTGCCTCATTTGCACATTTGTAACAGTAGCGATGTGGACGGGCAGGTGCGCCGATCAGGCAGTGACATCTCCATTCGGCTAAAAAATGTTCAGTTATGACTTTTAGTCCATACTGCCCAGTCCTATAATATATAAGGTTAATAAAAGGTTTTAATGATTTTTGATAATGGAACTGTCGCCAAGGTGCTGCATTGTCCTCATCAAATCTGTACAGTCTGGTGCAAACAACATAGAATGATATTATAATTTAAAATTATATAAAAAATATAAAAAAGATGAATAAATAATGTGCATGCCCTTACAGCAGCGTACAGAGCAGGTTAAACATTACCATCTTCTCTGTCTGTCGATGTGAACTGCAGTCTCTTCCTAGGACTGCTGCTGTGGAACGAATGGCGTCTTTGGTCACCTTGGTTGTCTATCCTGTAAATGACAATATCCTTTCTTTCTTACTGGGTAATGTTCTGGTTATAAGTCACCATCCATACACGACAGACAGGGGAAAGTGATTCTGGTCATCAACTGTCTGTTCATCTCTAACCTTTTCAAATGTTCTTCTCTCGGCATCATGTGACCAAAAGCCGTGGAGTAGTTTTCAGTGGGGCAGCGCTTTGGACTGCACTTGGCAGAGAGTGGCTGGAGAAGGGTTTCTCTTTTTGCTGGCAAAGGTAGAACAGCACAGCACTGGTATATTAGTGTATGTACACCATGGTGGTAAATACAAACTATTCATACAGCTGTAACCTCCCAGAGTGTTCACATTAAGCAGGAAATTATTTACCTAACAAAATGTGGTGAGCACATGCAAAACTGAGAGCAACATTGTGGGGATTAGAATCCACTGCTTACACAACATTGACAGAATTTCAATAATGAAGCAATAAAATGGAAACAAAGAAACAGGTTACTTTTTTTCCTATATTTACCTTTTTTTTTTATTTTACTTTTGTTTTACCAGGTAAATGTTTGTGAACCAGTTCTCATTTGCAAACACATGTAAATAAATATACAAATGTTCCCTTTGAATTTTTAGTAACAATGTTGCAAACACTGCTGCGGCCTTCTCTTATTTTTGTTTTATTACCAGCACCTAGGTGCAAACAGAGTTGGAGGAACTGTCTATTTAAAAAAGAAAAAGAAAAATGTATATATTTTTTAAATCTGCTACTAGATAAATCACCTAATGATGTGTCATACTGTGTATTTGTGTTCTTTTAATGTTGCAGGTTTCCATTTAATGAAATGATGATCATGTGACTGATAAACTCTTGAATTTTGACACCTACTGTACGTTCAGGAGCAAACCTGCTGTGAGGGGTATTTTATTTCACAGTAGAATCTGTTTATTTATTCAGACTGTGGTCGCTAAGTTTTACATAACTCATAAATTCAAGTGTGTGTGAGAAGTGGGGGAGTACATACTTGGTGTTGATGGGGGAAGATTTGGCTGTGAGGGGGGCAATGAGGAGGACCTGTTGCCCTCTGGAGACAGACTCCTCTGGGGCCTCAGCAAAGAGGGAGCTCTTTCTGCCCTGTTGTGACCTTTTGCTTCTCCTGTTCGACTCTCCACTGCACTTCCAGGATGCAGTGTGTCTCTGTCTGCCTGTGTGTACGACTGGTCCTGAAGAAGCTCCTTGTTTCGCCGGTCCACAAAACCCACTGTTGTTTTCTGACTAGTGATCCCTGCAGAGATTAAATAACATGTTTACTATTTGTGGACATCATTTATTGACAAACTACTACATACTGGCGTAAAAGTACTGTGCAGTATTTACATTCGTTTTTTTAACTCTATCTAGTTGTGGCTCCATCTACATTTTCAGTGATACTGTCGGTCTGCCTTTATATATTGACAAATTGACAACAATTTAGGTTTTCAGAAACAGGCTTTCATTAAAAATGGTGCCGAAACAACAATGGACCGAGAACTACTTTAACAGTGCTTGAATTTTAATAGATTGGACCTGAAATCTGAACTAAGGACAGTCAGACAGAAATTAAATCATTTAACATTATTTACACATCCACAGTAAATAATACTGAAAGAAATGCTGTCTCTTTTCCCACAGTTATCATAGTGATCTGACAGACACACCAGATGTCCTTCGAATTCCAGATCAATTCTACAGTTCATTGTAGAATGACTTGTAAGAGTGACATGAAACATGAGGAAACAGTAGAATGGCTAAAGAATGACTGTTGGTAGTGTAGCTGGTACAGCTGTACATACAAGGAGCCCTACTCTCTGTAGCTCTGGTCTCCTCCAGCTCGATCAGGGCCCGCATCGTAGGTGTGAGGGCAGAGTTTCCCTGTGTCCGACCCATCTCTGACTGATGGCTCTGTTCACACTCTGGAGGCGATGCACATCTGCAAGACGATGGTTTCAGCATTTCTCTTAAAAATCTATACGACCATTGGCTGAGGACAAACATTTACAAAGAATACAAGGTTACCTCCAGCTCCCTCCAGCCGATGAGAAGTCCACAGAACTCCCAGGTCTGGAAGGTTGATCACTGAATGTGTACAGTGGCTTCTGGTAGACATTGGTTTGCTGAAAAGACGATTTCATGCCACTGTTCATGTGGTCAGACAGAGGAGCAGGAGACTTTCTGCATGTGACATCAGGCTCTGGATTGCTTTTACTTGGCGAAAGCAGCAGGTCAGGATGGTGAAAAAGACTGTGGACGGAACAAAAGAACATTTAAACTCTAATAGACACGTGTACCTTTAGGAAATTACAAAAGGATTAATGTGTAGAATGTGTGGCTCATATTTAACATTAGAATGATGAAAAATATTGATCCTCTAGTTTCATTTCATTTACACAGTGTGAAACCTGGGCCTGTTTAGTTGAACACAGACTTATGTATTTGAACAAATTAAAGACACACTAAGATTTAAGTTATATATGTGTTGATATATATGTAGTCACAACAGACTGAATCCCGTGACTGACACTGAGAAGTTGCTGTGTGTGTGGCTGATAAACCCTCCTAAATTGTGATTGCCAAATTTAGGACTTTCACATTATTAGGACCCATGTATCCCAAACTGAATTCCAGCTGGGCTTTGTGAACAAAGTAGAAGTCATGAATATCCTACAACACTAACCTTAAATTATTCTTAAACATGAATCAATTCCAGTACGGTCTAACTGTTTTCTTTCTATTTTTAGTCCATATTTCGTTTAAATTGTATGAAATGTGATGGTGTGACTTGGTTTGACAATGGTGGTCTTCAGGTTCTCCATACTGACCCGGCCCCAGAGGGTTGAGTTTTAGTGTTGGAAGAAGCGTAACGGGCTCTGGCCTGGTTCTCATGCTCCAGCTGCTTCACCTGAGACTCCAGTTTAAAGATTACTCTGAGGACAAAGACAGAAAGACGCAATCTTAATAAACAAGGAGACGAGTGAATGATTAAATAAAAAAAAGAAAAATGTTTAAAATACAAGATATATAATAATGCACCAACTTTTGTAAAGAGGGAATGAAGCTTAACTATGCTATTAAAGTATGCTAATCCCTTACTACTCGTTAAAAAAAAATACATTAAATTTCTGGAGCTGTCGGTGTAAAACTTTCTTTTTTAATGGCCTCATAAAACTTTTAGCTTCCCTGAAACTCTTTCTTTCTACAAAGAGAAGTTATTTGACCCACAGCGAACCTTATTCCAAAACTACTTTCTAAGTTTTACAAAATCTCTGTCCTTCAGAATTCAGGCTCCAATTAGCTTCCGTTCTAGGTCCAGTTTCAGTCTGAGTCACATTCTCTGGATGTCTCATTAACAGGGTTTTGGACTCGCTCTGTGAAATGATCTGACCCATATCTTTCTTCTCACATTAAATTGTAATTTACAGCCATGTGCAAATGGATTGTGTCCTGCATGATAATTAAAAGCTGGTTTGTATTTGTGTTTTGAAAACCTTATAACCAATGTGTGTGGTTTGTCCCTGAATATTTGGTTTACATTCACTTCACAAACCCAGGGTCAATGAACCGACTCTGTGAGATCCAATTTGCAGGCAGAACTGACACTATGAGGTGAAGCTGCTGTGCAAGGGAATTTAGATGAACTGCAAACTGCTGCAACATTTTTACACAAAAGTCAATTAATTTAGAAATAAGGTATTTACCAGTATTGACCTTTTTTACCATTTACTGTAAAGTCAATAACAACTTAACATTTAGGAGCAGAACTCCACAATATTATTAAATTCATAACATCGTACTACGTACAACATAATTAACACTTAATTTGCACCTACCTCTTCAGTTCAGAAATGTGATCGTTGGCATCAACCAGTTTGTTCTCTACCGACACAAGCTTGTTCTAAAGAAACAAAGGAATTTTAAATCAAAAAGATGAAATTAAAAAAAAATCTCACATATTCTCAGTGTAATAAAATGACACCTTTGATCCTTCGTGCTTCTTTATCAGAGAATCATATTCCTTGAGAAGCTGGAGAAACAAAAGTAAAACAGGTGAAGAATTCAACATGTGAATTTTTACTGTTGAAATGAATCTGCCTCATCAACTCTATTCAGTTTACACAGCTCAGAATTAGTGAAGCTACAAACCAGACAGCTTTCAACATTGGATTCTTAAGAAGCTTTATTAAATCAAATTGCTATAACAAGGGTGACAACTTAGCATTTTAGTCAGGGTTAGAATAGAAGTACAATAATCTCAGACTCACATCCTGCAGCATCTTGTGCTCTCTTTCTTTCCTTGCTTCCTTTTCATCTGCCTCCCTGGAGGACTTCTGCACCGCCTCCTCCAGATGACGTACACGGTTTTTCAAAAGTGCTGCCAGAGTGTCCTTCTCTTTGCCAGAGTGTTTGCCTTCTTCAAGTCGCTTCTGCAAGGACTTTATGGTAGCACCGGCAACAGCGTATCGCTCTGACCATTCGGCCTAAAAATGAAAATCACAAAAATCGTGAAAAATGCTCAATGTTCAACAAATACGCGATTTATCAAAGCAAGCTTGGAGAGAAACAAATATTCTGGATCTACAGATTCAACAGGATAATATATAATAAAAGATTGAGGAGGTATTTATGCTCACAACAAAGTCAAAGCATGGGACCAACTTTAACTTACAATTTGTCAAAGCACAGGTTCACGAAATGAGGAGCAGATCCCCCTGGCTGGCACTTAGCTACTACAGGAAAGGCGCACCACAGCAAATGTATTTCAATTGTATTATTTCAATTTTGTGTGACACAGTAAGGAAATGCCCTGATTTCTAATTAGATTTCATTTGTTCAATGAGAACTGCTGTTTTGTAGGAATTACATTGTTTAAAGTTCAGCAATAGCCGTGAATGTTCCAGCAGGTGGGGCTCAACAATAGTCATATAGAAAAGCAAGGTCCTTCTGAAATACATTGGAAGCCACTATATCACTGAAGTGTAAATCTTATATGGAGAAACTCTTAGGAACCACAAGCAATAAAAAAATAGTGAAAAACACACATATGACAAAATACCAGTTTATTTTCCAGTGCCCCGTTTGTTGCCTCCAGTTCTTGAATGCGACTGTTTGCCTCAGCCAAAGCCTTTTCTAAATCCCTGCACCTATGGATGAACACAGGTCACACTATTATTAGATTAAACACAGAAAACAGACCAACAGCAAAATATGAACTGCTGAGTAAATGTAAATGTGTTATTTCTTAAACATTAACACAATTTATTCTTTTCACAAATTTTTATTTCATTTTATTCATTTTTATAGAACTGTTCTACTCTTTAAATGTGGCTTTTTACAGCAAATTAATGCAGCCAATACATATAACACACACACACATACATAAATATGAATATATATGGGGAAAAGCTTATTTCCATTAAATACTGTTTATTGCAAAAGATAATAATAATGATTAAATTGTATATTATCAATGTTCAATAGACATAAATAGAAATGCTGGTATGCTGGTTTTATCACCTTTGATTCATTAAAATACAAAGTAATATCTACAATAAACACCAACCTCTCAGTGAGGGCGCGGTTGTTCGTCTCTAAGTCCTGAGGCAGATTAAGTTTGTCTCTCAGAGTTTGGATCTCTGACTCGTAATATGCCTTCAGGTCTGCTACATGTCGAGAGTACTTCTCTCTCAGTTTCTGTCGCAGTCTGAGGAAGAAAAAAAAAACATTTAAACAGTGCTGTTTCAAGCCGATTCTTTCCGTAAATCTAAAGGGAATATATGACAATGCAAACCAAAGCCAATCAGAAACAGCAGACACATGAGATGCAGTGTGAAAATGGATTATGTTTGGTTATTTACCAGTAAAAATGTGCTAAACTCACAGAGAAAGAACGATAGGATCCTCAATCACTGAAGCTTTCCTCGCATTCTGCCCAAGTACAGGACGCAAATTAGTATCCGAAGCTGAACTTGGCATCATGGTGCTGGTGTGTGTGTGATCGCCCTCGTCCACGCTGGCTGTAAAATTATTTGCTCTGTGTTGTTGGTTTGCAGTATGGGAGAAGAGTAAGGCGTTTTCCTGGGAAGTGGACAGGAGTGGTTTAGATGTGCTTTCCCACAAACTTTGGACCTTGGATGGAGAGGGTCCGGCAACAGAAAGACTTGAGGTATCAGAGATGCAGTCTGTATCTCCGGGGTTGCACTCCACCATGCTGTCAGGAGTGACAGGAGTCTCAACTCTGTGGTTAAAGTGGGGCTGAGTGGCAAAGGAGGGGCTGCTAAAGTGAGAGGGTGAAGTGAAGCCAGATGTTTGATCTGAGTGCTTCATGTTTGCTGCTGGGTCCAAACTTGACAGCTGGAGAATGAGGATAAAGTACAAGTCAGAAATGTAGTATTGCAGCTTCTTCCCATAGTCTGTACTGATGCAGGATTATGTTCACTCTAAATCGGTGTGAATCTACTGTATGTGTAAATGGATGTTTGACTTTATATGTGGTTGACATGACACTATACAATATTGATTGACTGGTGAACCTGCCCTTAGGCTGTTGTCCCCTCACTGTCCAGAAAATGATGAATCAATAGAAAATTAATGAATGAGGAAATATCACAGAATTCACAGCAGCACAATTTGTCCTCTCCATTTCCACAGAGGTTGAACACCAAGAGAGTCATTCTAAATCACTTGACCACCAAATAAAATTTTCCGAGAGCCACAAACACATTTTGACCATTTTATTAATGGCAGCAGTGCAGTGTGTGTGTAGTTTATAGTACTGTAGTTAGGATGGAAGAAAAGTGTGTAGTGTAACACATTAACTACCATCACTGACAGTCATCATTGCTCACTATTGACACAATGATTTGACATTAGTAAGCACACTGAAAATATACATCCCTGTCCTACTGTATCAGTTATCTTCTTATTATACTAGGGGAGGGGATCGTGTCAGCAGACTAGATGTTTATTATATTTTATTTTCCTCTTCTCTTCATTTGCTATAACTTTGCGGCCCACATGTTGATTAGGTAATACCTGTGGTGACAAAGGACTGGACGTAGGGGACCCCTCCCAGTCTGAATGTCTAGAGTCACTCCTTTGCTTGGTCTTATAAATCTCTTTGAGAGAACGCTGGTGCTGCTGAGACGGAGTCTACAGATGACAGACGGGAACAAGTAACATTCAATCGTGTATACTCACAGTTGTTTTAACAGACAGAATCTTACTGTTATGTTAAATCTAAGGTTAATATCATTATTATTTAGGGAACAGAACAGTGCATTTATAACACAAATTGTAGGATGGATCAATCGTGACCTAGAGATTTTTTTTATTCTAGGAATGACAATGTTTGCGGTTGTTTGTTTAAAGTCAGAATTCAATTGTAAACAAACTTCTTTTTTTTTCAAATCAGAGGTTTACAGCTTCAGTGTGCCTTGCCTTTATGGTACAGTAAACAAACAGTTACAGGAACAGTACTGCTAGACAATGCTTCACCGTGTCAAAGTAAACAAAAAAAAAGTACCTACTAGATTCATGGACGCTTCCTGAAGGAGGACAGCTCCACTGTCTAAGCTGTCAGGTAATGGGCGATAAAGTTCATTCTCATTCAGCCGCCAATAGGTTAGACCTACAATGATAAACAAAAATGATTGAGGTTTTATGGCACTTAACCTCCTTAACCAACAGGCCACCGCTGCACTGCTATATCAATATCGGTTGATATCAGAATCAGAAATGAAGTGTTACACAGTATATTGGATAACAGCAAAAAGTGAATGTCAGATATCCCATATAATAAGTCAAATATAGTTCCACAAATTTAGGTACAAATACAGAAACAAAGGACAGAGGTCCCGAACCACACAGCCACATACGGGTGGTACCAAGATACACAGAAATATTAAACAGCCAATTTTATTATTTAATGAATATCAGCGTGAAAGTTCTCTTTTTAAATGACCCATTTTGTTCCATCTTCCATCCCTCTATTGACCACCTAATGGCACACTTTCCCCAGTTAGCTGACATAAACCAAAAATTACTTATTTATTTTCCAAGTCCAGTTTGTGAATATTTTCAATGTATGAGTCACTGCGTTGTTACCTGATGCTGCAGACATCAGGCTGTCACTCCTCCTCAGGGGGAAAGTGCTGGACAACGGCCCGGTCAGTTGATGCTGAAACCCAATTAGGATGAGAGTGTAGATTACTGTATTTGAAAGCAATCAAATAAACCACATTGATACACAGTACACACCACAGAGCTGGGAGAGAAATATATACACATGGAAGTATTTACTTTGTTGTTATTGCTGCTGAAACTTATCTGGTTCAAAATGTCTGCTATCATGACATGCTGAGATCTACCTGCTCCTGGGAATCAGCGCCTTCCTGGGAGTGTTGTTTGCTATGGGGCTCTTCCTGATGCCCAGGATTCTGTGAACTGAATTCAGAAGACGCTTGTCCTGCTCCGTTCTTCTTAGGTCGAAGTTTCTGCCTCTGGGCCCAGGATGTCAAAGGTTGGCTGGTCAGTGTCAGCAGAAAAAACAATTAGTCTAAATAACCACAGCTGATTAAATCTTTACAAACGACTCTGTATTCTTTTTTCCACTAAAGCGGTGCCATCAGAGCAGATGTCCTAATGAGCTGTGTCTGGACATACCCTGTGGTTCTCCGCTGGTGAAGTGAGGGGTTTATTTTCTCCACTATGACAAACTCCTGCTGAGACCTGGCCACAGGTGTTTCTGTGTCCTCCTGTAAATCAGAGGACCAGTGAGGCTTCTTTCTGGTCTGAGACTCCTCCTTAAATTCACCTCGAAACCCAGAAAGTTCCCGAGACATTTCCAAAGTAGATAGTGTCCTGTATCCACTGCTGAGCACAGTTGTCTCCTGCTTTTCCCCCGTTTCAGCCCCTTGGAGATCAGGTGAAGGAAACCCAAACAAGGACTGTGCGGGGGCTGGCGGGCTCCCATTGTCACTTATCACATTTCTGTGGGCAAGGATGGACGCAGCAGCAGTTTTGATCAGTGGGGTTGGAGAAAAGTCTGTGTGCGGCTGGACACACGCCTGACGATTTTGCAGTTGAACCAGGGCCTTGATTTCATCCTGAATCAACTGAAAAAGAAAGCTCCAATTCACTGGATGATCATAAACAAATCACATACAGGACAGAACTGAGAGCTTACCTGTATTTGGCACTG